GTCAAAGAGACAAGTGAAGCCGATCCTTTGACCAAACTTGTGCTAAACAATTGTGGTATCTTCCCTTCTGTCCTGGGCTATTCACATTTCCTATACCCTCCTATCACGCCTTCACAGTTACAATTTTTACTGTTCTTATTTCGATGTAGTGTGATGTGCTCCTTTGAGCGAGATGACACCTTCACACTCCAACTGTCGTTCCCACCCACCCCCCTTTATCCTTGTTGATCAGAGTTTGCTTTATTATTATGCAGTCCTCTTTCCTAGTCTTATCCCAGTCTCTCTTTTGCTCCGTAAAATCCGTCTGCTCTACACCTTGTTGACTTATTTAACTCGACTCCTGTCACCCCATCTGTCCTACTCGAAGAGACATTCGCCCTCACTTGCGTCTGAGTGACTAATTCGAGACTCAAGCCTCTGAGTGTCCTGGTCACCCCTTTGCTACCTGTACCACGTCTCTGGTACAAAAGACCTACCGTCAGCCAACTACCTCCGGTCCCCGCCGTCTCTATCCTGTTTCTATCCCTAATACCAAGTCTATGATTTGTCATAGTCTCTTGTGTGCCAACCCACAAATGTTGGGGTACGGCTTTCTTTGATGAGCTTCACGTTTGAACCACAACGTTTGTGGGTTGGCACACAATCCTAATTCATTGTAGACGATGCTTTCTAAGAAGGGCTATCTTACTGCTTCCAGTTTCAAATGAGATCTGTGCGTCTGATTACAGATATTCAAGAGAATATTAATTTCAACAAGGGGCTTAGCCTAGTTGGTGGCACCGTTATTGAGAATTAAGGGGACTTTCTTAAAAGCGAAACAGGTATGCCTAATATCACCAAATCACTGTGGTAATTAAAGCCGTATGACTATTATTTGCGAAAGGTGAACTTAGAAAAAGTTTTTAGCATCAGCAAATATGTTTTTAATCCTGTCTTCTACCTTTGTTTGTTCAAAATATGCAAAACTTCTTTTTCTGCAGTAGCACTTATTCCTAATAGTTTAGATTATCTGATCCCTAATACTATGTTTATAGAATTTATGAGGGCATATTTTAACAAATAACTTGATTATTAAAAAGTCCTCAACAGTAACTCTATATTATCGGATCACATAGTAGACTACCCAACCTTAGTGCTTATGTGACCATAGGTAATGCATTACTTTACTCATATATTGGCTACCGCTGAATGAATTAGAAAAATATGGCATTAATCAATTTTGCATGACTCGCCCTATTTGAAGCTGACCATTGTATATTTAGGATTATAATTTTTTGTTTAAAATTTTATTTTAGCTGACATTGTAGTTTAATAATTACATTTTAAATATTGTGCCCATTTATCCATTAAAGTAAAAGGTCTACAAGATTTGTTCAAAATGAAGACAAAGATAGAGTATTCTATTATATCTTCTTCTGAAGTTCTTCATTTCTTATTAATATTCAACTCTCTCGTGACAGAGATCCTACCCTCGCAATCGCTTACTCGCTTTCCTGGTTCCGGATTGTCTGCTTTAGCGATGCAAGTTGGGCCAGCGAATCAGCTTTCTCCCGTTCTGCCGTATCAACTAAGTTGCGGAGGGACCGCTGCTCATCATCGTAGAGCTGCTTTACTTTATCTGAGCCTCGGCCCCATTGTGACTTGAGATCACGCACTTCATCACTCAATTTTTTGTTCTGGTCTGACAAATAACGTATCTGAACACGAATAAGAGGAAGATAAAAGGTAGGAGAAATTAAAAACCGAATCCTACCATTCTTCTCAGACACAATAATCTATAATTGGTTTTAAAATTATTCATTTATTAGTCATGTTTGCAAGAATTATTACATCTTATCAACTCGTAGTCCATTGATTCCCAAAATATGCGCCGCGGCGCTTCGGAGAGCCGCGGCGTCT